CCCCTCCCCCCCACATCCATCAGCCCTCAGTTTGTTCTCAGCATTTAAGAGTCTCTCATGGTTTGCCTCTCTCCCTCTCCTCCACCATTTCCGCCCTTCTTCTCCCCCATGGTCCTCCGTTAAGTTCCTCCTAATCCTCCTATACGTGCAAACATATGGTATTTGTCCTTCTCTGCCTGACTTATTTCGCTCAGCATAACACCCTCAAGGTCCATCCATGTTGCTACACGTGGCCAGATTTCATTCTTTCTCATTGCCATGTAGTATGAGAGATTTTTAGATGAACAGCCGTGACCCTGGGCCCCAAGTCCTGGAGTTCCCGAGGACAGTCCAGTGATGAGTCGCTGCACCTGGGGTTCTAAGCAGCCCAGAGCAGACACCAAGGCAGGCGCTGTTCTGATGCTCTGGGAGCGCTAACTTATGCCATGCTCCCAGTGATGTTAGGAGGGAGGTGCCATTATTACGCCATTTGGCAGCAGGTGAAGCTGAGGCCCAGAGAGGGTAGGCGACTTGCTGACTTGCTTAAGATGACTCAGGAAGTCCGTGGCTGAGCCAGGATTTGAACCCTGGCAGCATGGCACCACTACAGCTGGTGCACAACCTATAAATTTCCCTGACTTTCTAGAACGACAGCAAGCCTCAGGAGTGCAGCAGCCAGGACAAGTCACCCTGCCTGGGAGAACCCAGGTGGGCTTCCTGGGGGCAGGGATGTTGTTAGGGATGGAACTTGAAGCCGAAGTATTCTCCAGACAGACATGAGCTTGAGGAAGGTAGTTTTCCACAGAAAGGCTCCTAGGATGCAGCTCCTTTCACCTTCCGTTTCGTGTTCTCCCCAAGGAAGTGCAGAGCCTTTATACTGTGTGAAATGGGATCATCAAGACCACAGCCTTGATCCAGTGGCCTCTGTCTGCAGCTAACCGAAATCCCACCAGCTCTAGCGCTCAAGTCACCGAAAGCAATCTTTCCCTTCTCTCTTCTGTCACCCTTGCCTCTGTGCAGGAAAGCTCTCGGCTCCGGGCTCCATCCGTCTTTATTACTAGACTGTGAACTTCTGGAGGGCACTGGCCTGTTCCTTCCCCTCTTTACTCACTTCTGCCTTAGGCCTGGTTTAATATCACGCACATAAGAGGTTCGTAGTAACTGCATTTGGTCAAGAAATGAGGGGATTGGGAAAACCTCTGATCTCACAGTTAGATGCCCTATTTACCCCTTGATAGATTTCATGATCAAGCAAACTAAAAATGGAGACAACGGGTGTCCCCACCAAAGAAGGTCTGGACCACCTTCTGCCAAGAGGATACAAAAGCAGAGTCTGTCACCTAAGCCCGAAGTCCCTTAAAATCCCTCCCGACTGTGAGCAGGATTAGTCCCGGGGCCTGGGCATAGTGGGAAGTCTTGTCACCCCAGCTATGAGGAAAGGATTGTAAGAGCCGAGAGCCAGGCAGATCATTGCATAATCCTTCCTGATTTCAGTGCGGCTTTCCATGGGGCCAGTGACACAGTGTGGACATTTGACTCCAAAGGGTATGGTGTCAACAGTGGACACCTGTCAGCATCACTGCTCAGAGGGTCAGGACTGTGTCTGGTTCTTTGTTCTATTTCTGTTTGTTTAGCACATGATTTAAATATTGAATTGATTCCCAAGGGTCCAGCTAGACTCCTTAGCTCATCATCACTCAGCCCAGAGGCAGCTAGCATTCAATTTCTTTTCCCAGAGATGTCATGTATTACACAATATTTCTGTATTACCTTTGAGGAACCAGTAAGGCTGTTGTAAGCACACTCAGTGCCTTTGCAGGTGATGGTGATGGTGTTAGGGGTGTGGGTGACCTGGAAAAGAGGTTTAGGGTTCACTGACCTTGAGAACCCGAGAGCTCATCTTGCACACTATGGTGATGCATGGTAATAATGATGTAGCAATAAAATCTGGATACCTCAAATACTACTTGGAACGAAGCAGGTCTGGTCCAAGGGTGGGGAGAAAGGATCCAAGGAGATGTGACTGGCTGCAGGAACCGTTAGGCCGTTTTAGCAAGTACCGCTGTGTTGCCGGGGGGATCATAAGTATGCCCAACGGAGATCAACTAACTCTTTATTGGGTAGACACTCCTTAAAGTATGTATGTATGTATTGATTGATTGGTTATTTTTTAAAGATTAAGTATCAGAATGATTTCTTTCTTTTTTTTAAAATGTTTTATTTATTTATTTATTTTTTTTTTTGAGAGAGAGATAGAGACAGCGTGAATAGGGGAGGGTCAGAGAGAGAGGGAGACACAGAATTAGAAGCAGGCTCCAGGCTATGAGCTGTCAGCACAGAGCCCGACGCGGGGCTCGAACCCACGAACTGTGAGATCATGACCTGAGCCGTAGTTGGATGCTTAACCAACGGAGCCACCCGGGCACCCCCAGAATGATATCTTTAAAAAAAATTTTTTTTTAAAATATGTATTTATTTTTGAGACAGAGACAGAGCTTGAGCAGGGGGTGGAGGAGGGGCAGAGAGAGAGGGAGACACAGAATAGAAAGCAGGCTTCAGGCTCTGAGCTGTCAGCACAGAGCCCTACGCGGGGGTCAAACCCACAGACCGTGAGATCATGACCTGAGCTGAAGTCAGATGCTTAACGGACTGAGCCACCCAGAGGCCCCTCCTTAAAGTATTTGTAAATGTCCTGTCATTTGCTGGTTACTCTGCTGTATACTGGTCGGAGGGAGAGTCACAGAGATGAATAAAGTAACTTGGAGCTGAGGAAGGAGGACCAAAATGCACTCCTATACTGTTCAAATTATATGAATTATAGAAAGGGTGCCCACAGCAGACTGGTTGGCCAAACTGTCATCACTTAATCTAAAAAAGAAAAGGACAAAAGGCGACTTAATTATTTAAGTACATGGTAAAGTAAGCTGGGTGCCCCTGGGGTCTCACTGTCTGAGGACAAGTGTCTTCTTGGTGGCACTGTACCCTATGGCTGCCCGTGACAAAGCGTTTCCAGCCCCTGCACCCATCTGAGTTGCCGCTGGGGCCCGTTCCTGCTGGCCACTCAAGTTACCCTTGGGCAGCCCCAGGCGTCTGGAGCCGAAGCTCTGGGGAATGAGGAAGAAGGTTCTCTGCCTGTCTCCCTCCCCTCTGTGCGAAGTTCCCTAGCGCAGCCCCAAAGCTCCACTACCTGCTCTCTGATTTCTCGCAAAACTCTGACACGGTGGCCTTCTCGGTTTTTCTTTATGGCCCTGCTGCCCTTGAGAAGATGCAGACAGGAGTCCAATGCCTGTTTGGCCAAGGGGTACTCAGAAATATTTGCTCTTCCCCCCCAGTGGACAGGACTCTGTTCCCGGGTTAACCCCCATCTCTCAGGTCACCACAGAACAAGGTCCCAGGCGGCCCCTGGGCCTCTCCCACAGCAGGGTCGGACAAGCCCAGACGCATCAGGACTCCAGCTCACGTTCAAACTGGGACCTCGGTTTCCCCTCACAGTAACTGCGATTCTGATCAACTGTTCAGTAAGGGAGGCCAAACTAGAGGCCATGGGTGTAAATGAGAGCAGGGAAATTTTTAGTGAGTGAAATGAAGGATTCCTTATATTGGGATGATAACAAGCAATGTTATTTGGATCTCCCTAAGGAAGAGTCTCGAATCTTTCTTGAATAGTTCAGAAGGCATCCTACTTCTTTCTGAGCTGATTCCTTGGTATTCCTTGATGAACGGAGATGTCCTACCTTGCAAATCAAATGACAGTGGCGTTTTCCATAATTCAGGTAATGCCATTTTTCCATGTAAATTTTTTTCCATACATTTTTCTTAACTCTTAAACCTTCAGCACCTGCAAGCGACCTAACTAATGAACAAGCAGTAAACATATGAATGGGAAAGCTTGAAAACCACCGATCTTGCTGAGTTTGTTGCTTTTTTATTTTTTTAAAGAACATGTGTGCTTGTGGTTTTATACTGCCTGCCCATAATGTAGCCATATTTTCTGCTATTAAAATTGTTCCTCGTTCACGGATGGAATGAAACAGGCCATTATTCCAGGGTGTTCCCGGAACAGCCTCGTGTTTCAGGAAGCACACCACCCCTCTGCGTTCTCTACCACCTGAGTACACTTGAGTGTGGCTCTTGTAGACTCTCGAGTATTCGTTTCCTTCCCTCCTTCTCCACTCCCTCTGCCGGGTCCTCACGGCCCAGACTGACTCCTAACCTCCGCCAGGCTAAAGATAACCTCTCCATCTGGGATATCACCCACCCGCTAAATTTATCCTCAGGGGTGAATTGCGGCTACCCTGATTGGCATCTCCAGGCACTGGAGGGCCTTGGGGAGCCGGGCGGGGCCCAGAGGGAGAGACGGAGAGGGGTAGGAATGAAAGAAGCAGAGAGAAGCTGCCAGGAAGCTGGCCAAGCTGGCTGCAGAAAA